CTAGTAATGCAAACAGAATTCGAATCATTTGTCTCTTGAATACTCGGAAGTTTTTCAGTCTTCTACAAGAAAATCGAAAAAGTTATGTAAATAATTATATCGTTAAAAGACGGCGGATATTTTGTAGGAACTGAATATTAGGCACTATGAAACGTAACTTAGCGTATTTTTTTACGTCTAGTGACTGGATTATTTCTAACTTAAATGAATAATGGTTTACTTCGAAATCAATATACATACTCTTGATATGTTCGAGTGGATAACGATGTCAATTAAATTATTCTTCAATTCTATAGAGAAATAAAAATTTATATCACAGTGTTTACTAATCAGTCATAATCAGTGTGCAACCAGATACAAATGTTCATCACCTCAAGTTAATAAATCATTTCAACAGAGACATAAAATTAACAAGATAAATTGCGCACAAGTCGGAATAAAAGTATCAAAAACGATGACAAGACCAAACATAGAAAATACGGTTCGGAAAGAAGGAATTAAATAAGGAAAAAGCAAAACACTATTTTGAAACCTAAAAAATGGATGGATACGAGCCATCACAATAGACTTATAAGCCATGTCACAAGTTCAGTTACTGTCAGTCTTGCCACAAGATCCCAATATTGGAAATCGGTGAGTGTCATATATGTGTAACGGTATGTGCCGGTTCTTCATAAAGCAATTAATGACACAGGAAATGCATGTATGAAAGTAGTTTAAATTTAACAAAACAAGCTCTACAGAAGATCGGGATTCAAACAGATACGTGTAACGATAAAGAATACAGTAAGAGAGTGGAACGGTTTAAGTTACCACGCTTTGTAGCATAATAGATTTAACAAAAGGATAAAAATAGTAGACGGAACAGAAACGACATGCTAAAGGATGGTAAAGACTTTGAGATTTAGAAGAAAGGACGATCCATTTGTTCTGCTGTGATACTTTCTAGCAGCTTACAATTACCTACAAGTCCTGTAACAATAGTCAACAATTTCATTTCAACGAAATTTCTGATCTAGTCAACCTTAACATATTTAAATCCTAATCGTCATACATGTCTATTGTCCATAGTATGAAGCAGATTAGCGTGTATGATACACGCCTCACATCAAGTGTTCCGTCTTTGTGGATGTTTACAATCTCATGTTATTTACCTGTACGAGAAGTCTCAGAACAATATAGTGGGGTAAATAAGACTACTAACCAAGGTAAGTGCCTTTCGATATGTACATGGATACTTCGCTAAATGGGCAGATTCGGAGGGTTTCAAAAAGAGATTCAGCATCTGTATTAAAATTTAGATAGATGAGCATGAGTGTAAACCGATAATTAAACAAAACAATGCAACAATTAGAACTAATGCAAGACGCATACAAATTATATATTTAGCAAGCCTGAGAACAGCGACTAACCTCAAAGGATTCTGTAGATCGGTAGGATTTTACTATGATATCCTTTTTATGTAAAGGGACGTCAGTGACCATTTTGCTGCACTCAAGTGTTTGTGTTGATGATGCGATACGTTTTAGTTCAGGATATATTGGATCACAAGCCCTATGAACCAATTCCACATTGCTTTCGTATTGTACACCACATGTAGTAAAACTTCGTAAATCCTTTTTTGGGGAGGTACCTTGACTACGTAAGACGGGAGACTCTGTTAGACATCCAGCATTAACACCCAGATGACGTTTTGTCATAGTACACCGACTGTTTAAAACAGGCATGGCCTGGACAAACTCAGAGACCTGTGACTGAAGGGACTGACCGACTAAGTTCGGGTTCGAGACTGTTTTTTCTATTTCCTTCAGGATAGGTGAACAACCACGAGATTGGCTGACCATTTGAGATTGAATACCCACGTGACAAACAGACTTTTTAATAATTGATAACAGAGTACTAACAAATTCTTCACGACTTTCATAAAAGCTTCGTATAACTTTGTGTACAATCTTCTTATTTTTGTCTTCCATTTTTGGGAAAACTCGATTCAACCATTCTTTAGTCATCGACTCGGTTTCATAAAAAAGGCAGCCAAATTCGCGTGTTTCTGGTTGTGAACAGAGAACTCCAACTTCCTGAATGGATGGACAAACATTGATACCAACGCATCTAAATTCGGACGATTTGATAGGACAAGCCATAGTAGCTGTGGTGCGTTTATTAGCTTCCGATGACTGCATAGCAATTTTATGAGTAAAAGGTCGTTCCGATAAAAAGCGTTTGTAGAAGTACGACTCCAGTTTAGACCAATATTCCGAAGGAAACTGGCTCTTATCGATCCCGTTATTCAAGTTACCAATGTGATTTGGACTAGGAAGGTCATTAGCAACAGGGTCAGTTTTAGGAGCCTTTTTATATGTTCGGACTTCCTCTTCAACGATTTCTTCTACTTCTTCATCAGTGCTATCAATGTGTTCACCGTTTTGAAATCGATGAGACTCTTTAATTTCATCTTTCTCATGAAGGCGTACGTTTTCTTCATACAAATAACGTAAATTGTCCTGTAGAATAGGAACTTGACTAGCCTCCTCCTCTAAGTTTCTTATTTGTTTGTGCAATTCATTAATTTTTGACTTATAACTTTCCTCAACATTTGATGTATATTCTGGAAGAACTGGAGAATCATTTACCGTTTCATCAATATAGTCAGGTCGGGATTCAGACTGCTCTCCACGTACTGATATACACGTCCCATAAATAAAAAATTCGTCCTTATCTTCGTTATGAAATTCAGGCAAAGTATACATGCCTAGGTTTTTATCTAGAGACTGATTTACTCTGAATGAGCTATAAGATGTGTTGTTAGAAATAGGAGATATGTCAGGAAATCCATGATCCCAGTCGAAATGTCGTTCAGGATCTTCCATTTGAGAGAACAAATTTCACTATTTAGTTTCACACTAAAGTTATAAAAAAACTAATTAAAAGTAAATAATGTTGAAAATTGGTCCAATACATAAAACGTGTTGTAAATACTATGACCAGTGAGTAGAGTAAGACTATAATTTGAGGATGAGACATTTAGACTTAAGATGAAGAACCTTGGTTTTTAGCAATGGATTCACTGATCCAAATGGTCAAACAACATTTTGGCACTATAAATTATATGGGCTTGTGATGAAAACCCATACTTCAATTCCTAATCCTGACCCCTCATAGTAACTCATAACCCCTTTTTGACCCTAATAAGTAGGTTTTTTTAAAATCAGTTCAGCGTCGTCCGAAGGTCGTCCATAAATCACAGGCTTATTCTATTTTGCTGGGTGATTTACTGCTTACGATATTTCTTAACATTTGTATATTTTCGCTTAGACAATACACATCTATTTTATAAAAACCACTTCCAAAACCGTTTGTTACATAAGTGTATTTAAAAGCTTTATATGACAACATACTACTATTGAAGTGTGTTGTTTTCAGACAAAGCATTAATCTGACATTTCTTAGTTTTAATTACCATTGACATATGTTTATAAATGTCACTAAGCTAACTACAATAACGTCACCATCATGTTCCCAACTGTAGTGCTATAAGTCATGTTTAAAATTTTTAATTCTACAGTCAAGTTTTTCAATTTTTATAATCCATATAAACTTACACGCGACCTAATTTACACGTACGTTATAATGTCCCTATGCCACTTGAATTAAACAACTATTTGAACCGTTATCAACATTTTCACTAAACCCATCATAGTCGTTAATGCTACAGGTATTCAGATTTATGAGTTGAGTTGTCACATTATTCGCCTAAAAAGACATTGAACGCAGTTCAAATAAAGTCGCCTCATTAAGATATCGCACTATTTATTGATTTATTTTAACACATAGATATTGGTACAAGGAGGCACAAAATACATATGCGGCACACAGATCTCATTTGATATGTGTGAGGGCTGTGATACTGCCCGGGTGCCCAAACCGAAGCAGGTGGTTTTCTAAGGGGGGCACACTTGGTATATAGCACTGCACTGGTATAATAAAAATATCACGTGGTAGTCAGTCAAATAAGCAATCAGAATAAACTTCAGAGTTTACTACTAAGATTAATACTAAGTAGACGAATATTTCTGGACCTAAATTTGGATTACAATCTGGCAGTTCAAACTCGTTAATTCTACAAACTTCTGATAATAACAAATAATCTAAAACAACAGAAGGCGATTGCATTTCTATGAACTGTCTGGAAATCTTAGTCACATCCTTGAAACAACCTTTTTCGTGAAAAATGGCGAAATGCTTGCACGACAATATAACAGGAGGTTGGTAAGTGACTGAAAATTATCACAATTTTGACTGAAAAAAACCCACAAATATGTAAATTGGTAAATGCCGCCATACTCCTAGGTAGAAATAGAAGTATCCTAGAACGTACATGAAAATCACCGAAAATCAAAGTCATGATAGCCTGCTACAGATTTACTCGGACAAAGTACTGTTAAAAGTACTTGCGAAAAAAATCTCGCAAATAAAACAGAAACTACTTAAGAAGCTAAACATAAAGTCCAACCACGTACGAGCCACGTATACAAATTTTGGTTAAAGCCAAAAACTGAGCCAACTGTAATTCAATGGTGTAAATCGCTGAAAAACAATAATGTTTTGATTTCTTAAATAATAAACACAGTAACTAGACATACAGTACGTTTCGTGTCTTCATGAATACTTAGTACACGATAAATTCACGTAGAGACAAATATATTGTCATCCTAAAAATATCTGACCTTACACGTTTTATCCAAACGCTACAACAAAACCTACAATGCATCCCAAGTGCCCGCTAGCAAGGATCTGTATAAGGGACACATGTTAACTTAGATAAACACATTTTCCCTAATGTCGCTGTAAACATGATTGATGAAAGTATTTATCGATATATAGTACTTTGTTCTCAGTCTTCAAAAATATCAGCACAACTATGATAACCTCAAAATTATTCAGTCCACAAAAACGCCAATTCTGCGCTTCATTCGAAAGTGTAGGAAAGCATAGAAAATATGACCATAGAATCTAATAAAATGAAAGATATTTTGTTGCTTCAAATGACTTCAAAGTATGAAGACCCACGCCTATGGGTAGACAACTACCTAGCAAACCCATCAGTTTCTGAAACTGAAGTTAATCACCTGAGATCTGTTATGCAAAGGGATCAAGCACTCAAGAAGGCAGATAGCGAGAGAATCTAGTGAGTTTCGAACAACCTTTGTGTATTCGTATGACAATGAAAAAGTTTTTATATGTACGAAATGGTGTGAAGTAGTTTCCCTTTGCATGAGTTATATTGTTAGCTGCTATAATGTATGATGATAATTTTAACATCCATTCTGCATACTATGCAGTCTGTCAATCGAACTTCCAGCTCACTTTTTACTTTTTACGGTACTTTGCTCCCTGTTCTGTCTACCAGTAATCAATTATTAGAAAATGCTTAATACAGTAACAAATAAAGACAATAACTTGAATTTTGAGGTACAAACTAACAGCAAAATAGCCTGAGATGATATGAGGCGCACTCATGTTGTTAAGAACTACTTCCAAACTACTAATGAAACGACGTGATCATACATACATTGACTTTAGATGTAGTTATTCACTAAAATACACTATTAAATCTTTAATATGAAGGGTTATTAGAGATACAAGATTTCGTCAAATTGCCTATCCTTATGCATCTCTACCAAGCAAGACTAAAGCTTACTACCTTCAAACAGGCAGTGTAGTCTTTTTTACTCAGAGTACTCTTCGGTAATCATGCTCTTCTAGAACAATTTATTTTTGTGATAGTAGAACATGATAAACACGTTGATATAAAATGTGATTCAAGAAAATATTGAGAAGCTGTTTCAAGTTAGTTTACAATTATGTTTGTTTGAACTTCTATAAAGATCGTCGACAATAACTCATTCGCCTTCATAGTGTCGAAGACGATAACTGGAAAGAGCAGAGTGATACGTGGATCTGATCGTACTGTGAAAATCCTGATATAGAGATCCTCAACCATGCTGTTTTCTCAACCAAAAAGTAGCTCACCACTGACAAATGGACATTTATAAATAGTACTATAAGAAAGTCACATGTCACCTATCTTATAAGGAATGTAGGTCTAATTCCGCTTGAATCGGCGAATGCATATGGACCTCAATGTTTTAATATCTCTTTGGTTTTAGAAGTTCTGTAATCATAATTCTTAGGCCATATGATTGTGAAAAGATTTACAGCTCAGCGGGTTGATTATGGTTCAATTCCATCTTCTGAACAAGAAAATTTGATCGTGGAGCTTTCAATGCTCTTCTGAACAGCATCAGTTCAAACTTTAGTTGGAAGTAGATTATTCGACATTCTCCACATACGACTAACAGACTGTCCAGTAATGCTCCTGTGTCAGTTTCGGTGATGCAGACATCCAAGAATGATTTTTTATTGTTCGTGCCCTGTTTCATTCCGAAATTCTTGTCACTGAGGGCGTTGCTCAACACATCGTGTTTGTTTTCTAGCTCATCCTCTTTGACAAGAAATGTGCCGTGTTCATTACAGATCCACAATTTTGGCTTGGTCTCTGGAAGAATCAAGGCTTCCAGTGCCTACATCACCGCTTATGCAATCAGCCCTAATGTAGATTGTCCTACTAGTGCTCCTTTTCGACAGTTGATTTGACAGGTTGACAACACAACTGCTTCTGTTTTCTTCTGTGCATAATTCTTAAATCCTTATTGGTTTTTCTTTGATAGTGTTTCATCTTTGTTCCTTGTGACATCTGCTTGATAACTCATTTGCCGTTGTCAAATGTTTTGATGTAATTATTTTCTCCATGTCGCCCTTTTAACTATCCACATTGTGTTGGTATTTGCTAATCCTGTAGTGTTAAGGCTGTTGTTGTTGTCGAAAGATGGAGATATTTTAGGTTGCGAGTAATGAGGTCGGATCAGTAACTTGGCGAACTTCTTGTCAATCCTACTCATGATGAAGTACGCAGAATTTGTTTCTCAGTCATTATCCATATAGAAGAAACGAAGAAATTTGAAGTTGTCTAACAATCAAACTTGAGGAGAATTTGTAGGATCAGTGATATGTCACAGAGCCGTAGCCAAACCATCTGGTAGATGAGTCACTGAATATCGAACAGATCATCGATTCTCGTCAAGGTCAATGATGACCAACGCTCATCAGTTAATCGTATGCCATGAACTGGCCTATTTAAGGGTCTCACTATCTTTAATGTACTCATTCTCACTAATGTATTTCCGCAGTAACGCCCTATGTGATGTACGGTTTTCCGTTTGCCGACTGTAAGTTTAGAACCGGTGTGTGCAATCGGTCTCTGGGATTCGCTGCAAGAACTCTAACTTCGGCGCCAGTATCAATGAGGTAGCGAACTTTCGTAGTCATATCAGTGACTGATAACAGACGTCTGTGCTCGCCGGCTACGGTTGCCGTTAACGCATGCCAACTGGGAAGTTTACTGAAACGTTCTTCATATCGGTCGGTTTAAAGTTTGTAACATTGCAATTCCGAGCAGATTTTCCGTAGTGATTATGATAACAGGACCAGTCGCGGATATCTGTCTCTCGTCGTCTAGAGACAGATAGCTTTCGTGAAAAACTCCTTTGAAGGGTTTGTGGTCGTTTACGGTCATTACGAATCCGTAGGTTACGTGTCAGCGTACGACAGAGTCCGGTAATGTCATTCCGTGTCGTTTGAGTTTTTTCTTTGATTGAAAAACCCTCAGCGTTAGAAGATTTGGTGATCTTTAAAATACGACCGGTAGATGCAACCAGCTCGTTTACGGCGTTGTTTTGCAATGACACACACTGCTTGCACTTCTTGAAGAAGTTTAGACAAGAAAACAGACCATTATATAATGTGAAACTGTCGGCAATTTAAAAAGGGCCCAAACGGGAGGAATTTCAGTGATGCACCACAGTTGAATCGATAACATACGATATTTTCTGTAAAATAACGATGAGAACTGTACAGGTCAATATGGATGTGCGTTGCTGAATGAACAAATCTAATTACAAATGATTTATAATATGCCCGAACAATGCCTTTTATGTTAGGTAAGGTCATTGTTACGAGAACAATCACGTAAGATCTTCTAGGTACGGTCAGCTATTAAACATAAAGAATGTGCAATAATTACTTAGCAACGAGGTTTCTAAGAACATGAGAATATTGACCCATTCCAGAAAAGCCTAAACATCACCAATTAAATAACATGAAACTGAGCTATTAACTGTTCAAAACAATAAACCTTAGCAACAATTAAGGAACCAAACACCCCTTCCTCCAGCAACACAGTCAGTTGAATCAATCACGATCTATCAGAAACGCAAACGCTTAATACGACAGAAGCCGGAATTTAAAATGTTGGGTAAAGCAAGAGTGAAACTGTGGTTTATACCTGAATAGCGTCTAAGAGTTGACCACGTCTCAGTGGTTATAAACAGTCCGGTGATGGTAATTGCATGCAAGCCAAATGAAATGTGGGATATACGTATATACAGAGAACGACAGAAGAGATGAGACATATGAAGAAAAGACAGGGTAATAGTCACAGGGAAAAATAAATATTTTAGGATTCTTCCCCATGCCGCAAATCGACTCTATGAGGGATGCTCCCAGCTCATTCGTACTTCGCAAAGCAACAATGTCTTACCCGCTACGTATAGCTTTCATATATTGAATAAATTGAAATTACAAGGGTGAAAAGATCTTTAAAACTGAAAATTCAGAATCCTAAAATACAAAGCTTACATTTGAGTATTCACATCTCAAAAGTATAGGAATTATTGCACGTAACCAATAATAATAAAAGCAAAACACTGCATATTTGACATGCAATTATGAGTGGATTCGTAACTTTCTACAACCAAGACCGGATGAATTTCACCAAAACCAAAGATTCCCAGAAATGATATTATTACTTTCCATCACATACTTTGATAAGCATCAAACCTTGGTAGTTCATTGTATCACAGAAGTATCATAATAATTCAAATATCAAGCAAACTTTGTTCGGTGCAATAGCTAAACCAAAATATTGATGTCTTTAGGAATACTAAGGCTTCCTAATCTTCTTAAGACTGATTGCAAGGAAGAACATATGTGATCACAATGAATTGTATTATTCAGACAACCAAAAGCTACCTGGGTACAATAACAATAAATTGTACAATTGACAGAGAGCAAACACCAAATGCCATGGAATCTATAAATTATAAAGTTTAAGAATAAAAGCCGATCCACTTCTTAGCGTGTGACTCATTACCCTGTAACAAATTAGTTACCAAAACCGCTGGTAACATTATGGCCCACCATATAACACGATTTTGAAAGAACCTAAAAGTATCAAGTGGAAATACACCCTCTTCCTTGAAAGCCAACAACGTTAGATTCAACAAACTAAGGTAAATTAAGATAAACAAACGAACACCTGTAGGGTTTCCCGGTCCTACTGTTTTAACATATTTCTCTCATCCAGTTTTTACCCGGTATAGGAGTCACACTCAAAATCAAAAATACTGTTTCTCCAGTTGCTTGTATTTTGTTCATCCATCTGCTGATATTCAAGGACTATATTTTGAGGCATTTGGTCATAGTGTTGCTTGGTTTTCTCTTGACAAGTCACCATTCCTTTCATTTATTTTTTTCCATTTATTTTCGTATCAAAAGTCTGAGTTTACAGAAGTTCTTTAAAATTTATCATTTTACCAAATACTCTACTTGTATTGTCTGATAAAATTTGGTTGTGTTGTAGATGAAAATTCTCGTTTAGTTCTGTTTGGTTTTGATAAAACTTAATTCATATCGCGGTTGACTAGAGGAAACACGTGTATTAATCAAATCAATTTAGAATTAAACACAATATCATATTTATGTAACAACTATAATCCACAACATTTGTACGCATCTGCCCGTAAGTATGATAAAAACCGACATATATCTAATTAATAATATTAACTGATGTAGACATAGCTTAAGAAGCTTATTTTCGGAATAACGTGAAAAAATTCAATGATTTCCACAACTGCTTTATAGTTGAACAGGATAGACAGGAAGTGACAATATCTAAACATTGTGTATAAAATGTTGTTATGTAAACCGGTGTGTGTATGTGTGCACTATGAATTAGGCAAAGACAACACTGCTTTCCATTCACTGATCAGTTAGCCTAAAATTCATCCCTAACCAGTTTCCAGTTCATATTTTGTCTAAATTTAATGAGAAGTTAGGTATTATTTAATGTAGAAAACGGACAAAATTAACTTTCTAAATGTTTACAAAATTAATTGCCTTGACAAGATTAATAAGTATATTTTTATTTAGAAAGTATGATAAAGAATTTTTTCACGATTTTCAGTGACTTAGTTGGATCATTTCCTTCTAAACTACAACCTGAAATTCTACTCAGTAATATGAACCAATTGCGTAATAAAATTCCAGCAGTTCCTGGTAGTGGCTTTGTTTCAACTCACACGACAATTATTCAATCTAATGATATAAACCCAGTTGAAGATGAGGATTACATGTCACATTTAGAATATGTTCACAAACGCAGATCATATGCAACATTACAGTTACGTAGATTTACATCCAAATTCTCAAAGTTATGTCCAATATGTTTACATCAATTTAATTCATTAACAGAAACGTATCGATGTATTAAGTGTATTCGTAATGTTTGTCAAAATTGTGCATGCAAAATATCATTGTCAAATTCGAATATTTTATGTAAAGAGTGTTGGGAAATTGCGTAAGTCTTTAATTATTTATTACAAAATTTATAATTAATTATTTAAATATTCATTGGCTAATGAATGGGTTATTTTTTTTCCGAATTAATTTTAAATACTAATTAATTATCAGAAGGGGTTTTGTGGAGATTTTTAGAAATTTCACTAGTTGAATTCATGAGTCAATTGAAGATAGATCACCATGGAAACCTGGAGGAACTGGACGGCCGTTTCGTCCCAGCATAGGACTCCTCAGCGGTGCGCACCTACGACCCCGCCCCCCCGCGAGATTCTAAATCAGGACCCGTCAGTCTCGCGAGCGAGCGCTGGACGATTACACCACTGAGTCGGCATCCAAAGGTGTTAATGTCTAATTTCAACTAATCCACAAAGTTGCGCCACCGTACATTGACTTCAAGAGGCATTTCCTGAAGTTCTAGTGAGAAGCCGTGACCAGTGGAGTTCAACCAGGTCTTTTTGTAAGGTATCAACTCACTGAAGACAATGTGTTCGAATCTCGCGGTGGGCAGAATCGTGAATGCGCACTGCTGAAGAGTCGCATACTAGGACGAAACGGCCGTCCAGTTCTTCCAGATTTTCCTTGGTGGTCTAGCTTCAATTGACTCATGATTTCAACTATTGAAACTAATTAATTATTTAGCTGAAAAATTGCTTCTAGTTTAATATTCGTGTTTATTCATTTGTTTTTTAACAAATTACTGTAATATATTACTGATAGATAACTACTACTCAGTGAAATATAGATTTAATATATATCTCGTACAAACAGATGTATGTAGCCGCATTATTAAATAGAAATATTCAGCGAGTTCAACATGAATGTGTAAAGATGTTTAAGTATCTGCAAATGCTTATTATGTAATATGTAATAATAAATATTATGTATGCTAACAAGTAAAGTTCATTATATTATACTAAGTGATCATCACCAAGCGATCTTAACAATTTTGAAAACATTGAATTCAGGATAGTGGTCAAAGTTGTTACAATAAACGTGTCCGGTCACTGTTATTTAAATAATCAGTTAATGGTTAACAGAATGAACTAAAATGATCAGGTGGTTATTTACTAAATTAATTGACTGATATTCAGACGGAGATATAATGAAAAATTATTATAAAGAATTAAAATGCTGTCTTTAGCAATAAAGCGAACCATCAATGTCCATTCACTTTTGACGAGCCCCTCTGAGGCTACTGCCGGTCCCAAGCCTGGATAAAGGAGGAGGGTGGGGCATGGGGTTACCGACCCCATCCCGTAGAAAACTAACTCGCTAAAAGAACACTAACCAGAAAAAATAATTCAAACCATTTAGACTCTTCCCTAGGCGTTAGAAGGTCTTCATTTAGAAGAGTTATGATGCCTCATGGTGAAAGCCGAGTTCCTTCGGTAGTCACGAGGCTGACGCTCCTTTTGACATACAGAGCAACCGTTAATTTAGTTACATGGAATGTTCGTACACTGTGGGAGACCGGGGTAGTCATCCAAATTGCTGCAGAAATGAAAAGATACAACCTGGAGGGCGGTGCTTGGAAAAAATGTTATGAGTTATACAAAACATTTAAAGATAAGAATGATATTTTATGACATGTTATAATGAACCAGATTTAGGACTTATCGGTTCTTAATAAATGATAGATAAATTTAGCTGACAAATAATAAATATATAAGAAGTTTAATATTTATAAACAACAAAGATCCTCTAATGTTTATTTTTTTCATTTTGTTATTCTGAAGCATTTACACTACTATTTTTACCCTTTACTTACATGAGTTAGTTCTTTTAATTTACTTACTTACCTACTTACGCATGTTGCTCCTCGTGGAGGAGAACAGGCCGACAACCAACATTCTCCATCCAACTCTGTCCTGTGCAATCCTTTCCAGTTCTTCACAGTTGCTACTCATTTTCATGTCTGCTTCCAATTCGCGGTGCAGTATGTTCATTTGCCTTCCTGTTTTCCGTTTCGCTTCACGATTCCAAGTTAGTGCTTATCTCGTCATGCAGTTTGATTATTTCCTTAATGTATGGCTTATCAACCCACACTAGCTTGTTGATGATGGTATCCGGTCAACCGACCTTAAGTATCTTGCGTAGATAACTGTTTATAAAAATGCTTGTACATTTTTGATTATGGTTGTACCATTTCTCCACGTTTCGGCTCTGTATAGTAGAACTGTCTTGACGTTTGTAATAATGATTCTGTATTTGATGTTGATTGACAATTGTTTTGAGTTCCATATATTCTTCAGAAGTAGGCACGCTATCCTTGCTTTGCCAATCCTCGTCTTTACGTCTGCATCAGATCCTCCACGTGAATTTTTTCACCTCATCTAGAGTTTCGCCATTAAATGTGATTGGTTTCTTTTTAATTTACTCATATACCGAAATCAAATTTTCTTGCACATTTGCAAATTACATTATAAACTTGACGGTAATATTTATAACAGATAGAATAATACGAAATGATCTTAAAAATTCTTTCTATTTCCTTGTATACTTAAAGAATACTTAAACATGTATTTACATTAATTTCTATATGAAATATGTTTTACTATGAAATTATATGAACAATTTTCAAATTGTAGTATAGCTTCAAGCAAAAATAGGATTTTGTTTTCATACTATAACAGTTCCTTAAGTGATTAGATATAATTTTCTTATTCGAGTATTGAATTCTGTCGATTATTTCTGTGATTACGTCATTTATGAAATGTTATGTTTTATACAATTTTATTCCATGTTTTCGACAAATTTATTTTATGAATAAACTTTTGAAAGTCATCTGTTTTGTTTCTAGTTTTAATGATTATGATTGTAAAATGAGATAAAACTTTTGATGGAGTTTTGTACTCTGAGCTGGAGGGTTTGGTTGTGGATGAAAGCTCCACAACCAAATCATCCAGCTCAGAGTACAAAACTCCATCAAAATCATCCACCTGAGTTACAAATCTTCTCCACCATCTCAAAATCATATGAAATTAAACTATTCAAAAGATCTAAATTAATTAATGATCCCAATTAAAACAGACAATTCATGATTTTGTAATGAGAAAATTAGTATTATTAGACAACTGAAATGAACTCTCAACAGTATGATAAATTTGAAACGATTTTATAATGTAATAAACTTATTAAATGCTATACCCAAGTCAACAATAAATTTGAATAACAGTCTGTAACTGATTACTATGATATCATATACAAAACTGGTTTCATTAATTACAGGACACTTTTAAATTTGGTTTGATATATTAAGTTGATGCTTTAAATGTATGATCCTTGTTTTAAGAACTGGAGATAAAAAAATATGGTAAATATTTTCATGTTGTTCTGTCAACATTTATCGGGTATTAAAACTATTATGCGAATTGGGGATACTTATAGATATATCTGTAAAATCCATAATACGTTTTTTAAAATGATATATTTCTTCGATCGGTAACTGCATCACACCCGGCATGGTTGAACTTCATTAGTCACGATTGCTCACTAGGACTCTGCGAAATTCCTCTTGTAGCTAGTTACTAGCGAGCACATGATAAGTGTTAGCATAGGGTTCAGGACTTCAATGAGATTTAACACTCTCCAAAACCCTACACTTACAATTATCGTGTGCCCACTAGTGGACAACTTCAAGAGAAAATTCCGGAAGCTCTAATGAGAAGACGTCACCTGCAGAGTAAACCATGCCGAGAATGGTATATTTGTTTTAAACCCATACGGCATAACCTTTGCATCTTGTTTCAACTCCTATTGATTAATATGTCCAGCAGATTAAACAAGGCAATACACAGTCGTATGGCTGTTCAAACGTGACCATCTATCAGTAACAGCAGTCTTCATAAACCTGTACACACAGAACTCTAAATACATACAATATTTAAATGATTTTCAACAAGGAAACTGTCTAAACAGTCTGTCTTTCTCCTCTATAGAATTTTTATGACCAAGAGCTGAATATTTTATTAAATTTTTATGTTCAGAGTTCAGTATTACTAAGAGTGAGAAAAAATTTCAGCTGAGATACATTTTCAATGTTTAACCTTCTTAATTAAGTTATGCAGTCCTTTGGAAATGAACATTAACAGTCATCTTCCATCAATCATTTCTTCTACTCATTAAATAAATTACATCAATAGATAAGTCTTGTCAATGTTTGTTACTACCATTCTAAACTATCCAAAACGTGAAATTTACTGGTCATAAGTGTTTAAAAATGTAAAAATTCATTAATACGTATTCTGACACTTTCAGCTATGGGTGATCGCTCACAACACACCGAAGAATCTAAAATCTCCACGTATATATATGTTGAACCTATGGATTACTATAAATTTAAAGAAATGTAATTACGTAAAAAATAACAATGAATAAATATATCTAACAGTATGATGACTTTGTAATGATGATTATCGTTTGTTAACAAAATGAATTGGCTATAGTTAGAAATCAATGAAAGCAGGGAAGTATTTGACAGCTGTATAACCATAGAACAGGAGTCTCATATTAGAACTCAACAATTTTCCAGTGTTTCTTCTTCCTTTTTATTGATTGTCTAACAAAGTTCATATTGTGATATGAGTGAAAAATATAACTAATGCAGTATGAATTATTATGACTGAATAAAATGGTACATTATTTTCTCATTAAATCAGATGATAAACTAATACAATACAATAATGTGTTACAAATATTTTTTAAAAAAAAATAATGATCTACACTAGTAAATTACCTCAATTTGGGTCACATGTTAACCAAAAAGATTTTGTAAAAGCATAATAATTTAAATCAATAAATCATCATTATTTTTGTTCTGTACTTTTGAAATATTCCATAGTAACTGAATTCAATAACTTAATCCATTTGAGTTTTACAACTAAAACAGACTGTACTGTTCCATCAAAAATTGATTAACATGAAATAAACAAATATAAATTTGTACTGTATTTGTGCTACAAATTTTGGCCGCCGATTAGAGAGCAGTGAATTATCAAT